TGGGAGGGGAGATGGTTGGTTGAGCGGCATTTGTTTGATCATGATAGTGATACTGATGCTGCGTAACAGGAATAACTGAAGTAGGGAGCCATGTCCGAGGTCTGGTCATTTATTTACCGTATCAAAAAAGACCAAAGTGTGTTGTGTGTATGTTTAATATAATTTGTGTGTTTGTGTAATATCGGTAAATTTCGGTTATCGGCCATAACAGCAATAATTATATCGGATATCGATATCGGCTGAAATTTTCATATCGGTGCATCCCTGTTATTAATGAATATTCGCAGGCTGGTCGTGCTTTGAGATATTTTTTTCTTTTAAGTGGGGGCAGATGCTATAAGATTTTTTTCTTCTTTCTGCTCCTTTTCATTTGACGTTGTAGTTCTTGTTTTTATTTATTTGTATTTTTTGTGTACTCCAAATGAAATAATTTAAAAAAAGATTCAGCCTAATTTATCCTGTAGAGAGAAAAAAAACAGACGCAGGAGGAAGTGGCTCCTGAGTTTACATATAATTTAAATCCTGTTGAAGAGTTATTTTCATACAGGTTTGTGTTCGTTCACAGGGACTTCCTGGGATCTAAACAGCACTTTAGTGTCTAAAGTAGCTGGACCGTCAGATGGCAGCACAAGCGGCGAGGTGAGTTTATAAACTTTAMTCTATAACTCGTGGACAGTGAGTCGCTCATCTGCAAAGCAAGGACAGCTGGGGAGCTGTTGCTACGTGTGTGACATCTGATTAGGGTTGCTAAGAGGAAGCAGTTTGGGATTTGTAAGAGCTTTTGCAATTTATGGTCCTGTAAGATTTAGATAGAGAGTGTCCAAAGGTTCAGAGCTGAGCTGACACCATGGGGAAGCAGAGCCTGCTTAATGGCTTTTGGAACAAATACAGCCGAAGGAATGTGTTTTCAGACACTTATTCTAAGGTATTTGCCAACTTTTTTTTGTTAATATTTACTGAACTTGTTATTCTCAGTTTAGGAAAGGAAACGTGAGTTTAATTTCTTGTCTGTTCTGAATGTTCACATCTAGTGATGAAGCTCTTTCTGTAAAAGATTGATTTTGTAAGCCTTGTTCATCATCATACATCATCATATTTCTCTTTTTACCCCCCTACTGTCAGTATTTATAAAAACAGACACGTCAGAAGCCGATGGGCTCACACCCACTTATAAAGAGAAGTGATTTTATGTGGTTCTGTCCGACGCCGGTAAATTCCTTTAGGTCAGCAGARGACATTTACAACAACTCCCACAGTTTTAACTGGATTATTCTGTTTGCAAACACACATAACTTTTGTTCACAGAACTCATCAGATAATTTACTCACAGACGTTAGAAGTGATTTAGCGTCAATTCATTCCAAACCACAAACTAAATGATTTATAACAAGTGGCGTTGCGTGTCTGAAGCTGTAATTTTTTAAGTTTCTGGACTCATTTCCTGTGCTTTTACTTTTTAAATTAAATACAAAATCTTCCAAGTGGCCACTTAGTTGTTGCAGGCTACAAAGAAAAAAAACATGATGTTCTTTCTAAAAAGTACAAAAGGAGTTGAAAACATTTTTGTGACAAAAATGGAAAAAAAGATAAAGAAAGGACACTTAATAACTACATTATTGTGTTATAAAGCACCGTGTTGAAAGTGTCAAGGTTTGGTGTTTCCAGAGTTTTAGACTAAAATRGTCTTGTGTTGACAATTTATAMCCATGCTGGTCAAACCCTAAAAACAAATATGTGCCATTTCAAGTGACTTTGCAAAATGTCACACTTTGATTATGGGTTTTGATTGACTCTCAGCTACTACCACATCAGATTTTAGGTCAGTATCTGTAAAACTGACTGAGTTTTAGTCCTTTTTTTAATCGTTTGGCAGCAGCGGCCATTTAGAATGGAGTTATGATAACTGAAATTTAATCAGTTGTACTTTCTGTGATTATTTCTTGAGKGTTCCCTTGGAATCTGCTCTTTWAATATTTTGCTTACAGATACTCWTAACTGGGAGTTTTTACTCAAACCGAGTACAWGTACGAGTAATTAAGTTTGGGTACACGCAGAGCCCTATGTGGGCTATATCTCTAGGGCTCTGGGTACAGGCTGACACRGAGTACTGATACACAATGACTTTAAAAACACTTTTTTTTAATTTAGAACAAGGCCTACAGCCTCTAGCTCAAATCAAATCAAATTAAATATACAGTGTGATATGTATATACTGTTGAAAAATCTAAAAGGTATTTGAACTTGTATAATCTTCTTAAACATGGAGCTGACAAACTTTTGACTTGAAATGTAATCAGTAAGAGAATGAATGGAGTATCGAWACAGATACACTGTACGGGTATGAGTACTTTAATAAAAGCTGGTATCAGTATCAGTACACCACTMCTCAGGTAAGTCTTAATTCCTCCGTCTGTGCTTTGAGAAGTAATGCAACAAATAATTAGTGTGAGGTAATCCACCAGCAGTCATGAGCTGAAGCTGTTTTTTTTTGTTTTGTTTTGTTTCTCCAAAGAAATTACAAAAGCCCTGAAAGAAGTGTGACTGTTAAGCTATTACTGGAAATATTTTTAACAGTTATCYCTTCACAAGATTAGATCTGACCATGACACCAACTGTTACTGTTGTCGTAAACATAAACGGCAATTTAGTGTTCGTTGTGCGCAGGTATTATTTTCAAAAAGTACAGAACGTCTCAGGTTGAAGGTGTGTACGTAGCCTTTTGTGGAGCGGTTTATGCGACGCATTCACTGAACTCCAGTCTCCACACTGGAGTTGAATCCATTCTACCAGAGTGAGATGTGTGTGAATGGTGGTTTTTTTTTTTTTACTCCAAGTGAAATATAGAAAACGTTGATGTTTTTTTCCACACGCAGGGCGTCCCAGGTGACACGGTGTTCAGCGTTTCCTCACAGTTCAACAGAGGTGACGTGTCCTCGCGGGAGGAAAAGGTAAAGCCGTCCTCCAGTAACTGCACACACCGAACATCTGCTACCCTCATCCATCATCTATTATTCAGCTGTGAGCACATGATAACAGCTGACTCATTTAGTGTTTGTATACATATAATAAACCAATTTTGATTTGAAATGCCTTCTTTCTGAATTAACGATTTAGCWTCAGAGCATTTATTCATGAGCAAAATCCGACTGATCARGAGACGCTTTTAGTTTGAAGTCACTTTAAGCTCGTGGATTCTGTAGATCCGAGACTGTGTGTCCACGCTTACAGTCACGTCTACTGCCCACATAGCTCCTAATTGAGCACAAATGTGACTACAAACACACAGAGAGGAGGGGAAACGTTGAAAGGGGAAGTGATCGCTCCCGTCACTGGGTTTCACAGCGAGTTCGTGTCWTTTTTAGAGCTAACCCTATCATGGCTTCCCTTCTGAAGCAGCTGGTCTCGAAGGTGAAGAGTACCTCTATCGGTGAAGGGTCCTCTCAGCCAGAACTGGACTCGGAACCAAAAGAGAAACCAGACGAGGAGGAGGATCGAGATTGTTTGGAGACACTGAGCGCTCTGCCTCAGTCCCCCTCGCCAGAGGCAGAGTATGACAAATTACTGGTGAGTGGAAAACATACTGCATGTTCTGTGTTTAGAAACATGTCTGTGTACGTTTATAACACTTTTTTTTTTTACAGCAGAACCTTTTATTTACACTGAACTTTAGGAATACGATGGACAACTTTAGATTAAAAAAAATCTGTTAAACTGAACACCTCCACRGGTRAGCACACAGCTACMGCAACACAACAAACAGCAGACAGCTGCAAAGAGCAGGCGACGCAGCAGAAGCGCCTTGAAAACCTGTGCGATCTCTGGAGGACTTGCTCCATGAAGCGGGGCACTACAGCTGACCTAAAGTAAAATCTGTTGCTTTCAGCAGGAATAAGTGAAGTGAAACAACAGGAGAATTTCAAAGATTTAGAACAGAACTTTCTTCTGGTCTAAAACGTCAAGCTGTAAAAACTAAAGTCCAACTTTTTTATTTCCTTACAGCCCCCATTTTTTTTAAATGAYAAATTGTACAAAACACGATTTACAAACCTCATAAACACGTATTTTAGTCACTATTGAATTTAATAAATATGTTGCAAATGTTTAAACTAGAACATTGAATTATTTTGAATTTTAAGGTAGCAGCACATCTCCACATAGGAGATGTTGTTTACGAATGTGAAGCATGTAAACATCGAGGAACTTCAGTTTTTAAAGGAAGTTTTGTCTCGTTTTTTTTTTTCTTTGTAGAATTCAAGCTGTTCGACAGCTCTGAGTTTTCCCTGTTGTTGTTTTATGTACTGTTCTGAATTGATGGTGCCTTTCCAAATGTGCAAACTGCCTATATCACAGGCAGTAATGCACCCCTATACCTTCAGAGAAGCAGGGCTTTGAACTGTGTGAGTCGTCCATCTCCTCTTTAGTTTAGTTTAGTTTAAATATTTGATGGGATTATTCTTCATTCTGAACAAAATATGTGTTTATGAGCTTTGCAAAACATTGCATTCTGTTTTTATTTTTATTTTAAGTCTCAACGTTTTCAAATATTGATTTTAGTTGCCTTTGCAAAGCTGCGATCAATCTTTTGTATTTTCTTGCAAAAAAAAGTTAATTCTTGCATAATTGGAAAGAGTGTGACTGTGTTGCTGACAGGATGTGGAGGCGGTCTCGCTGCCTGATGGACAGCTCTGCCTCTTGGCACTTCCGCCAGAATGCTGTCAGGGAGAGGGTCCGGAGGCCGTGCTGTACCTCAAACTGATCTGTCGCTACATCACTGACGGCAAGGTGGGGAGAAGGAACGCCGCTCKGATTTGAATTTTTACAGACGACGATAAACTTAACTGCAACGTTTCTGTCCCTGTCAGGGCGTGGTGGCGGGTATCCTGTTGGTGACGTCCAATAAAATCTTCTTCGACCCGAGTAAGACCCATCCTCTGGTGAAGGAGCACGGCTGCGAGGATTACCATCTGTCATGCTCTGTAGACACGCTGGCATCTGTCTCCTTCTTCTCGGACATTTCACACGTTCACTTCAACACCTGCCAGCAGAGGTCAGCAGGGAGTTGCTCTTTCTTATTGCAAAATTTAATATTACACAGAAAAAAGAAAAGCCTTGTGCAGCCACTGCTTGTTGCTTTCATTTTAGGAGAGAAGGAAAAGGAAAGAGGATTTTCCGGAAGCTCAAAAACGCTAAAAGCCGAGCGGGCGGCCTCAGAAACCATAAAGAGTTCGAGTCTCGTCCAGCTCTGGTTTTATCAGAGTCCAAGGTTGTTTCTGAGGAGGAGGAGGAGGAGGAGGCAGAGAGCAGGGACATGGTGGAGGCCGAGCGGGAGCTGGACGCCGGCCCTCTGGAGGTGCTGTCCGAGGAGTCTGCGGGCGGCCTGGCGGTCCTGAGCAGCGCCACTACTTTCTGCTGCGGAGGCCAAGAGACGGAGAAGTCCTCCGTGAAGACTCGGAGCGCAGGTGTGACCGACGTCCTGCCTGATGAGTGTGACGTTTTCTCATTTTACACGCCCTTCACTTGAAATCTGCTGATCCTTTAGCTCCTCGGAGGARGTCGTCGGGGAGTCTCGGGGGTTGGGTGTTTGTGCGGCTGCGGGTTCAGTCGCCTGCGGGAAAGAAGAAAGGTTCAACCAAAACTTTACCCAGGAGGGACACCTGGCTGGCTCTGTCGCAGGAAAGGTAAAATAAATAAACAAACATCTAAGAAAGTTTTAGTTTTACACGGTGTGAACATTTTCATGAGCCGCAGAGCAGAAAAAGTGATGCCTTGTGTAAAATCRGTAGAAACTGAAACGTTTGACTCATCAGATTCATTTTTGCTTTAGAACAGAGGTTCTCAAATGGTTTGAGTCTGGGGTGAAACATATCCAGAGACCACCTCATAAAACTCGTGCTGATTTAAAAATAATTTACTACCATTTTAACCCCTACATGGGACTAATTATTATTTTTTGTTTGGTTTAGTATGTTWGTTTTACTTGTACGTTGTTCCACATATGCATTTATGCATTTTTTAAATAAAAACCAAAAACAACTTATTATAATGTTTTGAGGACCTCCAAGCCACAGCTTGTGGACCTCTGGGGCTCCTGGGACCCCAATTTCAGAACCTCTGCTATAGAAATCATCAATGAAACATTTTTTTTTCTTTAAATTCTTAACAGCAGAGATTTAAGCTCAGCAGATTTACAAAACAGTTCAGTTTAAAACCTTAGTGCAGAGTTATTCAACTGGTGGCCTGCGGGCCAGGTGACATCCGTCCAGCCCACCAAGGGAGCACAGTAATTTTGTAAAGTATGGCTGTACAAGCTTATCTTATTGTTGTTGTTGTTGTTGTTGTTGTTGTTGTTGTTGTTGTTGTTGTTGTTGTTGTTGTTGTTGTTGTTGTTTTTAAAGATTATCGTCATAAAAATAGACTAAGTTTCTTTCTAAAACTCTCAATTTTGTTTTCATTGTCAATGATATTTTTCTGTGCATGTCTTCATTTGTCTGTTACCAAAATATATTAAAAAAAGTATCAATTTTTTTTATTAAATTAGCTAAATGTAATGAGCGAATATGTATTTGCCACTGATTAACGTTTGAAGTTACCCACAGCCAGCTAATCATTAAACACACATAAATGGGTATAACTTGAGTTAATTTTACAAAAATAGAGCTAAACTTCAGCGTGGTAGTAGCTGTGAGTCAGTCACAACACACAGTTGGAGTGCAAACAAATCACAGAAGATTTGTGTTTAAAATTTTTGTCCTTTGAAGCGCTGATCCTTATTTTTGCTCAACAAATCTCTTGTTGCCTTCTGTTCACCTCATGCATGAAATATGGAGATTTCATATCTTTGAGGACTTTTAAAGCTGAACTGAGATTACTTGAAGCTGATTTAATTTAATGCARGGGTTTGAACGACTTTGAACCTTGTCTGTGTTTTAACTGTGTAAATTTGTAACTGTGTCTGTTGGGTGCTGCCTTAAAACAGAGATTATTAATCTGAACAGGCTCTTCCTGGTTAAAGGCTGAAGCAAACCTCCAACCTCTCAGAGCGTAATTTTACGAGGAAACTCTTTTAGAAAACTGGCTCTTTGTGACTTCCTGTAATCCTGCGTTCTGCTCCCGCTGCAGCTCCGACGAGCTGCGGACCTACCTGAAGCGCCTCCGGCCGGACCTGCGTATCCTCGAGGGAGAGGAAGCAGGGGACCACGATGAAGAGGGGTTTGTTCTTATCGAGGACAAAGGGGAGGAGGAGGAGGAAGAGGCGTTCCAGACGCAGTTCAGCTCGGGGGACGACTGGGAGGTGAGTGGGTTTATTTTGGTCTCATAGGGTCAAACAAGAAGACACAGATGTTAGACTTTTTTCAAACTGGCCACTGTTCGTTTTTTTCTCCCTGCAGATGGTGCTGATGGAGGAGAGTAAAGACAAAGCCAGTCTGGTGATTGACAGGGAACCTGAAGGCCTCGGTCATGTGGTGGAGGGCAGCCACATTTTAGGAGCGTCACACATCAGGGAGGTGAGCAGCCATCATTTCCTGTTTCTGACCGGTTTTCTTGAGACTTTGGCTGTGTCCAAAACGACAGGCCGGGTCCTCCGGAGGACCC